TTGGTGAATGCCTTGCACTGCAAACATGTCAATTTTAATATATCAATACATTATTTGCTTGTAATCACCAATCCAAGATAGGTTCGCTAGAAGCTGATTGATGTAGATGAGACACTGATTCTACAGTTGCCCTCTTGCTAGCTTAGCACCATTTCAGAAAGCAGGGTACCTCCACTAAGACTCTGGATGTATGGGAGATTTGTCTCATTTTAAGTGACACCAAAAGCAAGTGTGTGTTCTGTGACAGGCATTTGTGAACAAAACTGTGTGTTGCTTCCCTATCCGCTCGTCTCCTAGAATGGACCCCATTTAACCTGGACATGAGTCTCCACTCTTTCCCACTAGTATAGGTCAAGGGGGCTGTTCGTATTCCATTACTCGAGGAAGCTTTATCATCCAGGTAGGAAACTGTCCTGTGTAACAAGTCCCCTGACTTTCCCAGGCAGAAGGTCCATGTGCAGCCCAAGCTACACAGCCACTTACTCCTGTGCTTCCAGCTTGCTGCCCATATTGTCACACTCCACAACCTGGCAAGGGTGTCCCTGGGTCCTCTGCTGCTGTCCCAGAGCAGGACAGAGCAATAACATCCTTTAGCTCTTTAATCTCAATGCACGCACCATCACAGACATGTCCTTGGATGCTTGTTCCAACATAAGTTAGACGACAACTTGATCCCTGGTAAAATTATGGCTGAGTTAGCTGATCATTTCCTCCCTTCGCTTGGCTGCGTACATTGCTGCTGGGTGCCTGTGTAGGTTGCCTCCTCATTTGTCAGGTTTGCAATTCCTTTGTCAAAATCAGCCTCCACAGTCTCAAGGTCAAAAGTTTCCTAGCATCACGGCAGCTTTTTGGGTGCAATGAGAGATGAATTGCTCATCAGAAAGATGTCAGAATTACTGAAGCATAATTAACCCTTATTGTTTCCAGTGGCAGGCCAAGTCTAACCAGCCCCAGATGAAATTAATTTGCTCTATAAATCCTAGTTATGCTAACATTTGATATTATAGATGTGTGCAGCCTGACAGATGTATTTTTATTAGGCTGTGTGCAATCTCCATTTGCATGGTAATGAAGCCTCCCAACAGCGTTCAGCAGGTGAGATGGGAGATGAACTCCTTCCATCAGCACCACTGCTTGCATCTCACCATCAGTGGTATTTGTCAGATACACAAAACCCTGATTAAACTGACAACCGCTGCAGCATCGCTTACATCCTTACCATTTAAAGTGCAGGACTCGTGCAATGCCTGAGCACAGAGCCAGGACCTGCCATCACCAGTGATGGGATGAGCTGCTGCTGAATCATAGCTTAACCAGCCCAAAATTGGTTTTAAGATAAACTAATTTATACTCACTCTTACCATAATATTGAAGACCTTTTGCCATCCCCCAGTGCTTTTATGGCCCAGCATGCTGAGCTTGCTGTAGGTGGCCCTAAGCTTTAATTCCTGTAAAAGAAGAATTATCCCAGTGCCACATCTCAAGGTTAAACTCTTTATAGCAGGGCCTCTTAACTGCATGGACAACACCCAGCATCATTGTGAAGGGGACTGATGTAAGAAATCAGAACAAAACGATCACGAACTCCTCCTGCATTCACCTTCCAGGTGTGGTACCCTTTTAAAGTAAAAGCAAAGCAATGCAGACATCTCATTAAGTCTCTATTTCAAACCTGAATTGGCTCCTCAGTTGATTTGTGGTTAATTGATGCAATCAGGGACACAGCTGAGGCACACTGAATGCTTAGCAATTGTAACCCAGTGATTCCTGACAGCACCTCACTAAGTGTAGCACGAGGAAATCCTGCTTCCTTGGGAAGGTCCTGCACTCCAGGGGAGCCTGACACTGCCCTTGTGAGAGCTCCTGTCTGCCTGCATTAAATACGAATCCAGGTTGAGGTTGCTAATACCTGCAGTTACCCATCATCTGCAGGCAGGGGCTTGGGATTGCCCTTTCCTTTACTGCAGGGTGTGAGGATGGACATGGGGTAACCCATCATATCTCCTTAACTCAGCATCACTTCCAACCTCTGCCTCCAAATTTCTTCCCATTGGATGCTCCAGTGTCTCTGTCATGTGTAATTATGACCCCCTTGTTCCTGGTAGCACTACCCACTCGCAAAGCAATGTGGTGCTTCTCATTATGGGACTAGAATGCCAGTTATTTGAGGTTCTTCCCAGTAAACTTTGCATGGCCCTTCTCCTATCTGCAGAAAGTTGCTTTGCAGAAGGCTTCAGCCAAAAAATAGTTTCATTGCTCTGGATAAAAGGAAGGTGGGACTTAAGTCTTTTTATTTATTATTTTTAAAGGCTTATGCTTCTTCCTGTAGGGATTCACCCCTACCCCCAGTGCTTTGGAAGAGAAACTCGGCTTTCGGTAGAGTCAGTTGCATGGCCAGGGGCAGTTTAGGGCTGGAATTAAATCCAGGGGAGAGCAGATCCATGCTGGACAGATCTTCAGGCAGCTCAGATGGATTTCTGCATGGAGGAAGCACTCAGGTTGGGCTCTCCCTAGTTCAGGTGCTGAGGAGGAAAGCTGGTCTTGCTCCCACTGAGCTCTGGGTTGGCCAGAGAAGATAGAAGGTGCCAGGTCAAGAGGCATTCGTACCCTCACTAGGAGCCTAATGCCATGCAAGCAGATGGGACATGGGCTTTCCTTCTGAGAGCAGCCCATTAAACAGGTTCTTGTTTGCCCATGAGTAATTTTATTCTAAGCATACAGCCACTATACAAATAACGGTGTTCTGAGTATCTGTGTGCTATGTAACCCTCCTGTTTTGGGATGGTTCCTGCATCGCCAAGGGGCTTATTTTCATGCTGAGCTGGTTCGTAGCATATCCAAAAAGACAGGAGTGGTATTTACCCTGGGTAAAATGTTTCCTGATTTCTCATTTTAGCCTTTTGTTTCAGCACCCCAAGCAAACAAATGTAAAAGCCTGCCGTAACAGTAACGAGAAGAGTGGACAAGAGACTAGAAATGATAATGTGCCCGTTTAACTGGGCTCTGGTGGGCTCTAACCCCTCTTTCCTAATGAGACAGGGTTTGTACACTGCACAGCACCATTTGTCTGCCTGTCTCCCTTCTCATGACTAATACTGAAGCTGCTGCCCAATTTAAAGCTCATCAGACATCATTTGAGCTCCGGAATGTAATTAAATTCCTCTAAGTTGTGTAAGAGTTGCTGGCTGAGTAGAGAGATGCAAATTGAGTGCATCCTCTGAGGGGAAATTGCCAGGAAAAGCTCAGCAGTTACTGTGATTGCTGCCAGGTCCATAGGCACAAGAGTTCCCAATGGCCAGGAGTGTATGTGGAGTGCGGGTCCAGCTTCTCATCAGCAGAGGTTATTGCCTTGGTGGTGCTCAAGCCAGTGGGAAACCAGGCGATGTTTCTTGAGCTGCTGCATGGGATAGGAGTGGATACACTGGTCCTGGGCAAGGGGCTGTGCTAGGCTGGATGATACTTCCCTGGGCACTGCCTCAGCTTCCAGATGTTTTCAGCTGGGATATCCTATGCAGGGTTCACTTTGTGTGCTCAGTAACCATCCGTGTAACCCTCTTTTCCCTGGTCCTCCATCACACACGTAAACTTTCTCCATCACCACATTTCCAGGCCAAAGAGTCCTAGCCTGCTCATCCATGCTTTATTGCACAGAATCATAGAATGGTTTGGGTTGGACCAGGACAGACCCTGACCATCCCCAATGGCATTTGTTGAAGTGCCTCCTATCAAACAACCAGGAGCTGTACACCCTGTCAAAGCTGTGGGCTAACAGTAACCCCCACCCACAGCCATCACCATAGTGTTCCCCAATACCTCCTTCAATCCTCCTCCAATGGTTTCTAACACCAGATTTGTTTTACCAGCACAGGCTGGCATTTATTCAGGGATCCACTAGTGCTATCTGTGGTGATTGAATTTTGCTGATATCATAAAAGGATTTGTTCCTCTGTTGTTTTCTGTAGCATCAAGTAATTCCCATTAAATAGTAAGTAATTGATTTACCCTGTTTGTCTGGGTTTTTTTTGTGTTGTGGTTTGTTGGGGTTTTTTGCAACTAATTGATTTATTTAGCCATTGCAATTACAGTAAATCAGTTAACTAAAAATAATGCCAACTAATTAATTTACTTGGTATTTAAATATTAGGAATTGCCATGAATGACTGCAAATTACTCGCAGACAGGGCGAATTTTCTTATCACTTGCAGGAAATGGGATGATTAATTTTCTAATGTTATTTATATGTGCTCTTCTCCTGCCGTTCCACCTGCTGAGCAATCCAGTTAGTGAGGCTGATCCCAAAGCACTGAGTCCCCTGGTGCTCCTTTTCCAACAGAGTTATGTCCCCAAAAAGTATAGGGGAGTAAAAAGAAATGCTCTGCTGTAGGAGTCTGAATACCTTGCTAATAGGTTTCATCTCTCATCTGAGGATTCTCTGATGTCTAATAAGGCTTAACCTCTATAAGGAGGGAAAATCCAGTTAGAATATATAACCTTTGTGATTTGTCCCCTGGTGGAAAGTAGAGACATGAGTAAAAAAGTGATGGAGAGAAGTGTAAGGGAGACAGATACAACCAGGAAAAAAAATCACAATACTCTTGCTTCTATAATAGGAAAAACTATGTGAACAAATAGATTTCACTCCTGTCAGGAATGAGGCTGAAGTATCTCTGTGCTGGGAAGGAGAGGATTAATGCTGTGTGCTGCTCTGAAAGCTCTTCATTCCTAGCAACCTATCCTTAATTTCCACACCTGCACACACAGCCAGGATAAAAACCCATCATGCACTTGGCTGTCACAAAGCAAGCCTCAGATGCTGCAGCATGGGAAGAAGAGTGGCACACAGAGATCAGACCTTGGGGTCCTTCTCTGAGCTGCTTCAAAGCCCAAAGGCCCAAGGGATGCTGCCCTGGCCCAGAACACTGAGGCTCTCAAAAGAAAGTGGTTTTGTTTAAAAGAAAGAGATTTTGTTGAAAGTCTTTTTTTTCAGATATAACTTTTTTTTTTTAATAAGATTTGTAATAGATCTTACAAGATTGTTAAAAAGATCTCTAAAATGACATGTGCTCCTTCCTGGAACTGGTGTCAGCTCTGCACTTCTTAAGGGACGTGGTGGTCACAAATCAGCCGCTTCTTTGGCTTCTCCTCAGCATTACCTGCTCCAGTGGATCTCTCATTGTCCACCATGCTTGCCTTGTTCCTCTACTCTTCCTTGGCTTGCCCTCAAGTTATTTTCCCTTTATCATTGTCCAATTCCTAGTCACAGAATCAACCAGGTTGGAAAAGCCCTTCAATACCATCAGGTCCAGCCATTCCCAGCACTGCCAAGGCCACCACTAACCCATGGCACTGAGGGCCTCCTCTACACGGTTTGTGAACACTTCCAGGGATGGTGATTCCAGCACTGCCCTGGGCAGCCTGTTCCAATGCCTGACTGCCCTTTGGGGAAGAAATTGTTCCCAATATCCAGCCTAAACCTCCCCTGGTGCAGCTTGAGGCTGTTTCCTCTTGTCCCATCCCTTGTTCCTTGGGAGCAGAGCCCAGCCCCCTCCTGGCTCCATCCTCCTTTCAGGCAGTTGTAGAGAGCGATGAGGTCCCCCCTGAGCCTTCTCTTCTCCAGACTGAACCCCCCCAGGTCCCTCAGCCATTCCCCATCACACTTGTGCTCCAGACCCTGCACCAGCTCCGTTGCCCTTCTCTGGACCTGCTCCAGCACCTCCATGTCTCTTTTGTCATGAGTCCTGTAGGATACAATATAAAGAAATACAAGGTGAAAATAACCTCAGTGAACTCTACAACCATAAACGTATTTGCCAGGCTAGACCAGGAATGAGTCACTAATGAAAACAAGGGGCGAATCTTAAGCAACACTGGGTAGGTTTTGCTCTTTCTTTGCAGCTGAAAGTCTCCCTAGCTTGGAGCTATGAATAATCATTTCATTATTTCTAAAAGGAGCTGGCAGGTGCCCAGACCCTGTGCTTGATAAAGTGTTGAGAACTGAGGCAGCCATAAAGGAGTTCCTTTACGAGATTTGATGTTCCACTTAAGAACAGCAGAGTCTCTGCTAAAGTTAATTGGTGTCAGAGAGCTGTTTTCCTCTGGAGCACCTCAAAGAGACACCAGCGGAGAAGCTGCCTTGCTCGATTTCCATGTCTCACTTCCTTCCCTTCGCTTCCCAAGGGGAAAAAAGAAAGGAGAGGAAAACCTCAGATATGAATACAGATGAGAAGCCTGGAACTTGCCACTCCTGGGTTGCTGCAGGGACCCAGGTGAGAAGAAATCGTGACAAAGATCTGAATTTGCAGGGCATTTAGGCACATGCTTTCAGCAAAGCCTGTGCTTGTTCAAGCATTCCCTTTCCCAAATTGAGCTTGATGTGTTCCCATCACTCCAGCTGATGATCCCAGGGAGAGCACAAGCAACAGTGATTTTAAACACTTCCCTGTAATGCCCACCTTGCTCTGAGATGCCTGGAGATGAAATGGATTTCACAAGGAAGGGAACATGCCTGGTTTTTGCAGGTTGGTTTATTACTATGGCAACCAATACACCTCCTTTCTCTCACCCTGCAGCACTGGTTTGAGAGGTCAGGGAGATATTTCAGCTGAGAGTACACATCACTTTCCTACAACTGCTGTGGCAATCCTGAAAGTGAAGTTAAATGGAAATCCAACTAACCAGCATGCCCCGCACAGCCAAACATCTGGATGGCTTTGCTAGTCATAGAATGGCCAGGGTTGGAAGGGACCTTAAAGCTCATCCAGTTCCAACCTCACTGCCATGGGCAGGGACACCTTCCACTAGAGCAGGTTGCTCCAAGCCCCTGTGTCCAACCTGGCCTTGAACACTGCCAGGGATGGGGCAGCCACAGCTTCTCTGGGCACCCTGTGCCAGGGCCTCAGCACCCTCACAGGGAAGAGCTTCTGCCTAATGTCTCATCTCAGTCTCCCCTCTGTCAGGTTAAAGCCATTCCCCCTTGTCCTGTCCCTACAGGCCCTTGTCAAAAGCCCTTCTCCAGGTTTCCTGTCACCCCTTTAGGCACTGGGAGCTGCTCTAAGGTCTCCCCTTAAGGAGCCTTCTCTTCTCCAGGCTGAAAGTCGAAGCACCTATGGTGCTCTCTAATTACTAGGGAATGAGGACAGGCTACAAGAGGGGTTTTCATGTGATGAAGGCAAACAGCTGGAGTTGGACACAAAGCCAGAGCCCAGCATGTACAGCACACAGAAGGAGAGGAAGTTTTGCAAGAGCACCTTTTCAGCCTGGGGAGAAGCAGGGAGTTTGAAAGCGAGAGGCTGAGGTTGGAGAAAGTCACGTTTGCCAGGCTGTGCAGGAGTTTAACTTGCCATTCAAGAGAACATCAGCTTCTAAGGAAAATTACTTGCTTTCATAGATGAGAAAAACATGGTTTGGTGTGGTTTTTAAGAGAGAAAAGTTCCCTTCCTCACTTCCAGTTACTGCCTAACAATTGCCAGGCAAAGCAAACAGAAGGCACAGAATTAGCTTCACTCTAGGCAATCACAGCTACAGCAGCATTTCACTTCTGCAAAGGATGTTACAGCATTAATGGCTGTTTTTCCTAGGAAAGCAGCCCTGAAGGAGCCCTTTCTGACCACAGAAAGGACCTTTGCCTGCCCTTTCATCCTGTTCCAAGATGGCTGATGTTCTTCGGTTCACCAGCGCCAGCAGCTTCTGCATTTGGAGAAACACAGCAGCCTCAATGGCTGCTTCTTTCCTAAGGTGTGCTTTGAATGTGCAGACAGCCCCTTTCCTTCCCAGAAAACCCTCACAGCAGAGAGGAGACGCTGCTCTAAAGGAAGATGTTCTCTGAAACAAGCCCCCAAAACCACACACAGCTGATGTCCCCCCTCCTGCTGCAAATAAACAAGCATTAATGTATTTTCCAGCTCTAGCCATTCTATGATTTGAATGCATTCCGCTGGTTTTCAGTCATCCTGCTACCACAGCTCACTTGCTAACCTCCCCTCTCCTCTGCTCAGCTTGCTTTCAATGAGCAAACACATAAACCATCTCCCAAAGAAGCTCTCTCCTTTTGTGTCTCCCATCTCCCCCATTCCTTTAAGCTCATCCATTCCACCCTGGCAGCTCCTGCTGCTCCTGCCTTGCAGAGGAGGAAGGATTAAAGAGCTTGACTTTGATTTACGACTGGTCCTAATGAGCCAGATTCCAGGAAAAATGTGATTTGGAGAGAGCTGTGTCCACCAGACGGTGACTGGAAGTGACTGGCAGGAACTTCATCAGCACTTCCAGGCTCCAACAGCTGTCCATCAGTATATTCAGAACCACAGAATTCCAGACTGGTTTGGGTTGGAAGGGACCTTAAAGCTCATCCAGTTCCAACCCCCTGCCATGGGCAGGGACACCTTCCACTAGACCAGGTTGCTCCAAGCCCCTGTGTCCAACCTGGCCTTGAACACTGCCAGGGATGGGGCAGCCACAGCTTCTCTGGGCACCCTGTGCCAGGGCCTCAGCACCCTCACAGGGAAGATCTTACTCCTTCTATCTAACCTAAATCTCCCCTAAGTTTGAACCCATTCCCCCTTGCCCTGTCACTACAGTCCCTGATGAAGAGTCCCTCTCTATCATCCTTGTCTCAGGGGCTTGGGCTGGATTTAATCCACACTCACCCCTCTGAGGACATCCTTCATGCTGTAAGGCAGCAGGGTGGTGGACAACACACCAGCAATCATTGCTGCTGTCAAAGGCAAAACAGCCTTGGGAAGGTTAGGTGCCTCGAGAGGTGATTTGAGATACAAGAACACATAGACCATAACGCCTGCGGAGAACCATCCTAAACCTGCCCCAAGGGATGCTGCTGGTTGGGAATTGGAAGTGCTTTGCCAGAAAGAAAGCCCAAATATTTAGAAATATGTTTTCATTCCATTTTGGAGTGAATTCTGAATGTAACTCATGACACAGGGAGTTCTGAATGAAATTCTTCTTTAAGCTAATTGTTAAATGCCATTTGCTTTGGTCTAGGGAGGAAAATCCTCCCTTTCATGGTGGTGTGTTTTAACCCTGCTCAGATTTCGATGCATTATGGAGCAGTTTCATTTTAACATCTGCAGAGAAGTCAAGGCCAGAATGTGCAGAATGCACGGAACATGCACACTGCTTTGTTTGAAGAAAAATGGCAAATTCAGTATGACTCACTGCAGGGTTTTTTTCCCCCATTAACAATACAATCAAACCCACCATGTTCTCTTAAAAGCGTTTGCTTTCCCCCCAAAACGGCAATTTCTGATGACAAAATCTGCTCTCTGGAAAGCTTCCTATTGCTACAGGTGGAATTCACTGGGAGATGGTGTAGGCTGGAAGTCCTGATGGAAAACAACCTAGTGTCTGCTCCATTGATAGAATACCGGAATGGTCTGGGTTGGAAGGGATCTTAAAGCTCATCCAGTTCCAACCGCTGCCATGGGCAGGGATACCTTGGCTATTCATTCAAGAAGCTTAGAAGAGGTACGTGATAGCACAGTCAACACCACTGAGCCGTTTCAGCAGGCACCATAACGCCCAGGTCACAGAGTCAGTGTGTAACAGGAAAGATTGATGGAGCACAAATTACTTTGCTCTGAGTTCTCTGCACAGACTGAAGGAGCAGAAGCGTTAAAGAATAAAATGTGCATGCTCCACTGGTCAGAGCACGTGTAAATCCCCCTTGTGCTTGATCCAAACATTTGCATTCCCTACATCCCAGTTAAATTTGCACCCAGGAGCAAACACTGGTGGTTTACCGTGAATAATACAGGTGTTTGCTGGACCCCAAGGGACAACACTGTGCCTTAAGGGACATGTCTTTAGATGCTACACCTGCAGCCCCAGGGCATGTGCTGGGGTACTGTCCCCACATGATGCTGGTACAAAGGTATTACTAAACTGGTGCGATTTGCTGTAAGAATTGTCTATGTGGGGCCAGGCACACAATTGTCATTCTTCATTGATGGGTATCCACCAAATGGGTCTTTTGTCTTTTGGCAGAAGGAAAAATGAGAACGTTCAGGATGGTTATCTCTGGTTCAGTGACTTACACAGATTTAATCAGCTTCCATCAGCTGAGCACCAGGGACACAAACAGTGCAGACTGCAGCTTTATGCCTATTAAAGAGCCTGGCTTGGCCTTCATTAGTGTTAGTGGGGAGATTATCAGACACCTAAATAATTTAGGAGCACAAGTGATTAAGGATAAGAAATGTCCTTCTAGCAAACCTGAGGCACTTCTGGAAGTCCCACTGAAGTCTCATGCCCCCTGCCCAAGGCAGGGTAGCTCTGCTTGTGCCCTATGAAGAACATCTTATTCATACTGTGTATTACTAAGGGCTGTTCAGCAGTGCTGTCAAGTCACTTCTCCCTGACTGCCTGAACAAAGTATTGTTATTTCTTTAACAAACCATCTGCTCTTGTAGCTCCAAAAGCTAATAGATGCTGGACACGTCCATAAATGCTGTAATTATTCAGGACATGTTTGCTAACATATGAACATGCCACACATTTAAATGAGGGCTTCCTAAACCATCCCACTAATCACTGAGAGCCAGGGGACATATTCATCTTCGGCTGCCCAGAGCACAGACAAAAGAACAAGAGCACTAAAGAAGAGACATTAGATACAGAATCTCCATCCTCTCCTCTAAAGTTTGGTCTTTGATGATCCTAAAGGTCTTTTCCAACCTAGTTGATTCTATGATCCTCTTCTAGTGCCCCTAATTTAGAGGCAAAGAGAAGCCATCCTCTTTGCTGTCAGAGTGCTGGGTTTCAGGCAGAGAAGCTGGGAAAGGAGATTTTCTGGCTGTAGGCAGCTGTCTCATGTAGCTAATTGACTTTCACTGTGTTATTGGGTGCTGCTCAGTCTCCTGCTGGTGCTGATATAGGAAAAGCTCCAGGAAGAATCAATCAGCTGCTTAGCTGAGCATAAAAAGAAACCCTAGTGTGGCCTCAGGGATGGGGAAGAAAATAACCCGAGAAAATAAGTGTTGTAAAGGAAGCAATTCTGCCTGCTGCTAAAACAACCCTTGGAGCAGAGAGGAGTTTTGCTCCATTCAGTGATGGAATGGAGCAAGAATTTCTTGTGGGGGAACCGATACCTCCAGGTGCTGTGCAGCAGAGGTAATAGATGGAGGAAGTGCCTAGCAGAATTATTTCTTTCCTGCTTGCTTTGCCAAGGCATAAATCTCTTCCCTGTTCCCTGGGGTATGATTCTCCTCATTGAGGCAGGGAACCCTTTCATTCAACAGTAACATTCATTTACTCTTCATTTCCTAATGCTGCAGGAAGGCACAGCTCCAGCAGCAGTGCCAGGTTATGGTGAGCTCTCCATGTCTGCAGTCCCCTGTTCACATCAAAGATTTGGGGTGCTCCCTGTTCTAAAAGTGATGGATGCCTTTCCCCTGTACCACCTCCCCTCATTAAACAAATGGTGACCAGTCTGGTATCCCATAAAGCACGGTGAGAAGAGGGAAAGCTGTAAGCCACATACCAGCCAGACCTTTCCCTCTTGTCTCCATCCTGTTTGGCAGCCCCTCCACCTCCTTCAGCAAATCCTGCCTACACTTACATAGCACCTCCAAAGGTAAATCATTCCCCCATGGGAAGATGGGCAAGATCCTTGACGATGCCCAAAGAAGCACCAGTATCACTGGCAGCAACAGCTTCTTTTCTCAGCCTGTCCTCTAGAGCCTGGAAAGATAACTTGGTTCATGGCATCTTCACAGTCCAGGGGTAACCTTTCCCTCCCTATAGCCTCAAGCCCGGGGCTGATCAGTTCTCTAGAGGTTTGGTCCATGTCAAAGAGCCATAGAAGAAATGCTTTGCTGGAGTACTTCCAGGGGGAGAAACCAGTTGTGATGGGGTTTGCAAGCTGCACTCCCCTACACTAACAGCACCAGAGGGACCAATGGGCAATTTTATGCTGGCTAAACCCAGTGGCAGCCAAAAACTTACTAAGTAGCAAAGCCCTTTATAAATAAATAATGCCAAAGAGACACAGCTGGAATCTCAACAGGTAAAGCTGCGCTGATCTTCTGCAGTTTTCAGGGAGCTGTCACTGCATCCTCACCCTGCAGCCAGAGTTCTGCATCTTCACTATGAGATGGCTCTTCAGTCAGCTCCAGGTGTCTTTTTCTGCACAAATATCTGCAAAATCCCTGAAAACTTTTATGTACCTTTTCTTAAAAAAAAAAGGTAAATTACTGTAAGATTTGTGCAACTTTACATTACAGGTGTTTTCTAATGGTAAAGACTTAGTTGCTCTGAGACAGTGCTTAGCTCCCATCACTGCTAGCTTGCAAGAGCAAGTTAGCTGGAATGGATGAAGAAGAAGACCTTCCTTTTAGAAGATCTCACATTATCCAAAAAGCACTAAACAAATCATAAGATCATATAACCACAGAACATAAAAGACCCTCTGGTCCAACCACTTGTGGGAAAAGCACCCTGGATAAGATTACCCAACACCCTGTCCAACTGCATCCTGAAAAGGTCCAGCAATGGGGACTCTACCACATCCCTGGGGACATTGTTCCAGTGAATGATGGTTCTCACTGAACATGAGATGTCTTTTCTTCCTTTACCATGGAGCCATCTAAAGTTGATTTATGCTGAATAAGTTTTGCCCTCACTTCTAACTTAGTAGAGGTTTCTGCCTCAAATCCCCAAATTAGGAAATATAATTTCTTCCCAAAATAACTAAAAGAAACAGGCAAGGAGAAGCTTCCCAGGGCTGGCAATGCCACAGGGCACATAATGAAGTCACCTGAAGCTCACTTTTCCTTGATGCTAATCAACTCTCTTTGCAGCAAGAGTGAAACAGCTCTAGGAAGGCATCTCCATCCCAAATTATCTGCATCTTCAGCAGCATATCCTTCAGCAGCCCCTTGCTCCAGCATGGTCTGCTGTGAGCATCCTCCTCCTGTGCAGCTCCGTGACGTGCAGTTTCCCAGCACAGCACACACTGTGCATCCTGCAGTCAAACAGAACCAGAAAAACCCTTTATATCCAGGAGAGCAGAGAGGTCTGCTCACAACTGGCCTTATGTGAGAAAGCCACGTTTCAACTAGCTTCTCCTAAGTATTCAGCCCAGCATGCCAGAGGCTTTTGCAGGGAGCAAATAACAAGTGCTGATAAGTTGAAATAAATGAAATTCAGCAGGAAGAAAGCAGAGGAGACTGAGCTGCTCAGGAGCACGCTGGCAAGCTTGAATCCAGCCCCTGTGCTCCAGTGCTGAAGGGACCTAAAGGGCATCGGGGTAAGGATTAAGTAGATCTGCATACCTACAGCTGTGGGAATAGCCATAAGGGCACCGATCAGCAAAGCTCACCCATCCACAGGGACCATCACCAGCTGGTGGAGGACATAACCAAACCCCAGCCCTTTGCCATGTGAAGCTGGTGGGTACTGTAAGATTCTAACCTGCACACATAGGAAGCGGCATATTGTTTACAGCAGCAGCTCTGGTGCTACAAACACACTTTATACAGGGTGAAGATGGATAGTGCCATGTATATGAAAATAGGAGCATGCCAAGGCACGTTGCACAGCCAGCTGAGAGATGGGCCTATAATTCAAAGACCCTGGAGAGCTGAGGCTATGAAGATGTTAGTTTTTTGTTTAAATTTATAGATATGTACCTAATCCTAAATGTGTTTATAGACATGCTCCATGGGTGCTTTCCAAAAGAAGGGAAAAGCCTTTTTTACCTTCATAGAGGATGGCTGCAATGGCGAAAGGGCTGAGTTTAGGGCTGAAAGCCAGAGATAAGCCACATCTCCACAGGAGAAGACCTTCATTACTCACAGCTTCTATCTGCACCCATCCTTCTTCTACTCCAGTCTTTGATGAGCTCCCCAAGAGCAATAGCACAGTTCTGAGTGGTGTTGTTACTGCCCTATTTCCTCCTGGGGAGCAGATGGAAATGGATGTTCCTGGCTTGGCTTTTGCACTTTTCCTATGGCATACTCACCAGAAGCCACATGGTACTCTATTTACCAGGGCTGCAGGAGGAAGCTCAAGACTGTATGGAGACCTGCAAGGGCAGAACTCAATGACTTCATTTAGCTGCAGAAGGCACACACATCAATGTCCTGCTAATGGGAGGCTGGATGATACAATTTCAGTGAGAATGCAATTCATTAGATGCAGGAAGAAAGAAGGACACATAATAAATCTGATGGAAATAACGTAGTTTTGAAGGTACTGACATGAATGACAAACTGCATGAAATTTGTTCAATAGAAATAGGTAGCTTGGTGTAGTTGAGATGTTTGATTTCACCTTTTTTATGCGTATGCTTCCATTCTTTTTGAAAGGAGACTTTCATTTCCATATTTCAAAGGAATAATAGAAGCAGTTAAATAATCTGAAAGTTATATGAATTATATAACTGTGGTTTTCTGTTGCAAAAAGAGTGAAGCAGGATTTTACTTCCTTATGGCTATTAATTTTATCTGTGAACACGGGCACTTTTCCAAGCCTGGATATTACGGATAACAAAGATACCCTTAGCTGACTTCTGCAGGACCCTGTGAGCCAAACTGAGTCAAGTCAGCAGCATTCCTACAAAGAAAAAATGTTTTATTAACAAGGGAAAACCAAGGTATATTGAACATTTGAATAGCAACAGTGTTGAAGGGAATGGGTCTATGGCCTCTTCTAAATCATATGCCCTCATGGAACAGCTATCACAGCTGTAAAGTTGATGCAAATTATATTTTCCACCAGCAAGGGAGGACCTCAAGCAGTTAAGTCATCTTGAAAAGCCACAGTAAGGACAGAAAACCATCTTGTGAACCATCCAGCTGTTCACAGAACCCCAGACTGGTTTGGGATGGAAGGGACCTTAAAGCTCACCCAGTTCCAACCCCTGCCATGGGCAGGGACACCTTCCACTAGAGCAGGTTGCTCCAAGCCCCCGTGACCAACCTGGCCTTGAACACTGCCAGGGATGGGGCAGCCACAGCTTCTCTGGGCACCCTGTGCCAGGGCCTCAGCACTGGAATCGCTTCTATCTCTGTTGTGCCAAGGAGGACGTGTACAGGGGGAAAAGCCAACACCGGAGTGCGGTGAACCACACTGCCATCTTTCAACAGTTTCTTCATCTGATAGTCCCCAGTGTCAATCAGAAAAACACTTCAACTGCAGCTCTCCTCTGTACAAGCACCTTTAAGATTCCTGCTAACTGTCAGCACATCTCACTCCTTAAGAGAAGCAGGAAAACTTCTAAGCAAAGAGATCAAGTGATCCGACCCCCTAAACATCCAACTTCTTTGATTTAACACTTGAGGCTGAGGCTCAGAAAGCTTATTTATCCTGGGATGAAGCATTCAATTAAACACCCAACGCTTCTGGAGGCTGTCAGGGAGGTATCAATCCCAGCCTGCCTTGGTTGCCAACGTGTGGTGACAACAAAAGGAATGAATAATGCACCTTTTGTAAGGCAAGGCAGAAAATTATAGTCTTCTGGGGAGAGAACAACATGCTAGCATCAATGTCTTACCTCTGCCTCGTGTCTAGGGGCAGAGTGATGCTCACTTTGCCATCCCATTGTCACCCCCACACTTATGCATTGCTCTGCCTCAAAACATTTGCATGTGTGCATTTTGCATACATCTTCAATATGTCTGCCCTCCTCAGACACCTGTGTGGCCTGCAGCTCTTGGCCAGTCTATCAGGGCATATCTAGCACCCCTTCATGGTGCTGCTATGCATACATGATCCAAACCGTCCGCATGCACAGCAAAGCCAGAGTGACCAAACCTTGCTTTGCTGTCCTTATAGACCCTTCAATAGCACCTCTATGCTGAGAGACCTCCCCAGAACCACATCTGATCCAGGCCAGGAGGAAGGTGAATCGTCACTAGCTTTTAGGATCATAGAATTGACAAGGTTGGAAAAGACCTTCAAGACCATCCAAGTCCAACCTTTAACCTAACACTGAAAGAGCACCACTAAACTGTGATCACTTCCAGGGACGGTGATTCCAGCAATGCCCTGGGCAGCCTGTCCCAATGCCTGATTGCCCTTTGGGGAAGGAATTGTTCCCAATATCCAGTCTAAACCTCCCTTGGCACTGCTTGAGGCAGTTCCATCTTGTCCTATCCCTTGTTCCTTGGGAGCAGAGACCAGCCACATCCTACTGCTTCCTCACAATTCAAACCTCTTTAGAGCAGGTTTTCAGAAGCACAGACCTACTCTGTGTAATGAATTGCACAGCCCCATGTGCACAGCAGATATTGGTAACTCGTTCAATGCAAAATTCTGAAACATATCAAAACTGCAATACAGAACACCCAGTTTTATATTCTTGCATCAGCTCATGGAAAATGAAGATCGTGTCCTACCTGAAATGGTTCTTTTCCTTTAAGGTAAATGAATAAAGATTTATAGTCAAAGATTCATTGAAAATTATCCAGGCATAAGCAGCACTTCCCAACAAAAAAAAAAGACCCTAAAATTTCAACTCTGCAGGTGGGTTGGCCACAGGGAAACTTAATATCATTAATATTTCAATGTTGCTTTCCAGAACTTCATACATAATCATAGCGTTTTGTACACGAGCATGAAAATATGCAAGCAGAAAGATGTTGATGGCGTATAACACAATTAATCTCTCCAAGCGGTAAAGTGACCTGTGTGTCATGAGGGTCACATTGAGAGGGTTAGGAAGTGTTCCTCTGAAAATGGCTTGTATCACAATGAGGCTGTTTATTCTGTGGGTGCCAGAACACATTAAAAATTACATATTGAGAAAACTGCCACAAAAAATAAGGTATTACCACAGCAGTGAACGTTACCTGCTCCAGTGTAAGGTGTCCCTGTCCATGGCAAGGGGTTGGAACTGGATGAGCTCTAAGGTCCCTTCCAACCTAAACCATTTGGCGATTCTATGATTTATACCTAGCAGTAGGTCTCAAATGTTTACTCCTTAAACCAAAGAGCAGCTAAAACAATCATTGGTCTGTCTGTTCTTATTGAAGCTCTCTTTCCAAACCCAGGAACTGAGGGTTGAGATGCAGCTGATGACAAGACAACCCTCAGTAGCTTCCAGTACAACCTTCCAGTAGCTGTTTAGAAGCTGTTTTACTTCCAGGGAAGTGATTTACCCTCCCCACCTCCCCAGACAGGTCTCAAAGAGAGGAAGACCTCGAGGCAGAGGTGTGAAGACTCCAGAAATGAAAATACTTTCCCTATATGACCATGGGAAGGCTTGGAGGAGACCTCCTGGCTCCTCCAGAAACCACCCTCATAACACCACAGTGTCATGCTATGAAGAGCCCTATGTCCCTTACTCAACATCTTGCATTCACTCACATGTTAACACATTAAACTCCAGATGGCTGTTAGCAGAAAAGGAGGAATGGAGTCATGCCAGGACCACCCCAGGACTCTGAGCCAGGCACTCCCAGTCAATATTTGTATCTACAAAACCCTTTCCCTTCGATACAAGACAATCTGCAATTTTCCCAGTCTCAAAGATGGGTCTGTCAGCCTCGCAGGGGAGAAATAAGCTCTTAATTGATGGCACAATATCCCAGGAGAAAGAAGGCAAGCAGCAAGCAAACAAATATGATCCTGATTCTCATTCCTTCTGCACAATGACCCCAATTATACCATATCACATCATTTGCATTGCCACAACACAGCCTTTTGCATCTGCTTGAGTTGCCATTTTAAACCATTTAATCACAGCCTACCTTTAAAAAAAGGCTTGTAGGAAATGAGACGCTTTCTGCTGATGCAGTTAAGGGAGCTAATTTCAATTCCAAAGCAAACAAGATTTATGCAAGTTAATAGCCTGAGCGGTCCAGGAGCCATCTCAACTAAGGCCCCTGTTGCTCTATTTTAATAAACCATGGGGCAATCCTAGGTATTTATATAAATTGGATCCTCCAGATCTTATCTAATTTCCAGGCAACAATTTCCACAGGGGGAGACAGCATTTACTGCTAATTCCAGAAGTGGGCATACGACTTGCACTGCCTTTGCATGTGGCCCTAACACATCTGGGGCAGCAGAAAGACAGCTTCCCACTTGGTGCTTACTTGCCAGGTTTGAACGCCACCAATGGTAAAAAACAGTTGGTTTCAGTGTCTGCAGAGGCAATGGTCTACTCCTTCTCCCACTGCAGGGACTGCTGATACAAGGATTCAGCAGCTCCAGTATTTACAAGCAATGCAAACTTCTCCCCAAGCATAATAGACTGCATTTCAATTAGGCCAGCGGTCTGAAGAATCACTAAATTAATCTGTCATTAAGATAGTTTAACTCCTGCAGTTTATTGATCATGCTGGAGAAACCTCCAGTTCCTGCCTCTCTTATGGCAACATATTGAAAACCAGACAATTACTTCAGCCCCTGAAGGAAATATTTCCTTATGCAGAGCCTGGTTTTCCTGAGGAGCTATCTCCAGTTTCGGGATAGTTCATAGTCCTTCCCCACAAACATTTAAGTAATTATATGGATAACATTCCTAACAGCAATCAATGCAATTTGTCAATCCTTGTGTTTGCTTCTCCAAGCACTTGCCAGGTATGACGGTAGAGGAGGGTCTGTGGGTGAGGATGCACATGTTTCAGTACCCCAGTTCTCATGATTGCTTACACAGCCTCAGGACATGTGCTTCCAGAGGCACGATCGGAGCTCTGCAGCCATTCCCACCCCAGCCGGGCTACCCAGCAAACCACATTTTCTATTGTGGAATGAATGGAAGTCACAAAGGAAATAAACCACCTCTAAATCCACGTGCAATCACCCCACAACCCAGCACCAAAAATGAGTAGGCAAGCCCCTCTGACACTGCGAAGGGAAACAGACAAGGCTCCATTTCCCACCTGGGGGAAAAGTACTTGGGGGGAATTATAGAAAACTGGGATCTCACAGAAGTCATAGTATTAAGGAGGGTTGGCATGCACAGGATCTGCTCTACCATGGTTCTCTAGGCAACTCAGCCTGCCCCCTTCCACATGGTTAAAGGAGTAAGGAGGGTGGAGTGGAGACACCCATGGCCGGGCTCTGCTGTAATCCCTGCAGGGATAGGAACACGATGGTGATGGACATGATGATGGAACATGCAGCGGATAAACCGTAGAGCAGCTGTCAATGGTGAACAAAAGGGAAGATGTCCCTTCTTAAGTCAGCAATGGTGGTGAAATAGCTTTCCTCAGATGAACCTTGCTCCTTATAATCTCATTGTAATATCCACACACACCTGCATCCCAAAGTTACCCACGTCCAAGTTATGACTGCATCTCCTTGAGCATGTGCTATTCTGTTGACTTTAAGAGAAAAGGGAAAGAATTTTACCCCAATGAGTAACAAAACTGGTAATACAGTAACTCTGTATTACCAGAGTTACTCAAGATCCACCTGAATGTAAAAATGTATTAAAGTAAATGAAGTAGGGGAGAAGCTGGTTAAGACTCTACTGTAACTGATGGGCTAAACCTGTCTTCTCCTGTATAGACATGCCTCTTGGGTCAGAACTCAGTTCTATGCACACTAAACGGTCAACTCACACCAACCTCTGCTTGGAATATCCAGGATTTGAGGGCCTGACTTCGTGCACTTCTGCCTGGGTGATCAAAGTGAAATGCAGCACCAGGCAGGCTCTACCAGACCTTCCTCCAGGAGCACCTGCAATGGGGTGGCCACGTACCTGAAGGGGTAAGGGATTGTAGCACAGGCCTGGCTCTGCCTTGCTTTTGCTAAGGGTAAGAAACCAGCCTGCCCTGCATCCCCAGCCCGGTCCTGCATCCCCTGTGATATAGTGACCCCCTGTGGAACGCTTTCAGGTTACACATGTGAGGCTGCAAGAGGTGAGAGCATCAGCTCTGCACTGAGGACAGGAAGGCTTTTACTTATACCCAGGTATTTGGGACCCTTTTTTCCTGCTGGAAGTTCATCCCTTACTTTCACTTGCCCTGCTCTTCCCTGTTACCCACGCCATGTCACCTTTCTGAAGATCAGTAGAGACAAAAGGGGGGGGGGGGGACGGGACGCAACACCAACATAGAACCATAGAATGGTTTGGGTTGGAAGGGACTCTAAAGCTCATCCAGTTCCATCCCCCTGCCATGGGCAGGGACACCTTCCACTAGATCAGGTCGCTCCAAGCCCCATCCAACCTGTCAAGAGCCACCAAAGAAGTCCCATCCCAGGCTCTGGGCACCCAGCATTTGGCAACCTCAGCAACCTGATGGCAAACCCATCTGAGCAATCACTGAGGAAAGCCATGTACCACCCTTCCCAGGGGTCTGCAGCCAAGGGCAGCCCTCCACCCCAGACCTCCTCTCCAAAACCAGAAACTGGGGTTGTTCCCAAACAGACCAGGCTGGACCACAAAAAGGACTGAGCAAGGTTTCCTCCAGCCTTCATGCAGGAGCAGTGCCTGTTAATCTTTCCCAGCCCTGGACACACTAGTGGGGTGGTCAGACACCATCTGTCTCCCAGAAGGGCTCATGAGACAACATCTTCCACAAAACAGCACGGATGCCCCAGGAAAATGCAAATGCTGATGATCAAGCCCACTAAAGAGCAACCCAAATGTCAGCAGAGGGATGTTGTGGTCGCATCTGCATCTTATGGGGCTGGTCTCAGACCCCATCACACAGCACCTTCCCCAAGGGGAGACGTTCCCTGTAAAATAAAAATTACAAACCTTGCTTGCCTGTGTCAGTATTCCACACCAAGGTCCAGTCTGTGTCCTTCTGCTGGCTGAAACAGGGTTTCTGTGACTTCAGGGAGGTTTGTGAGCCCATCTCATTGCGACACCCTTTGCTGTCTGTATCGGAAGCCCCCATAGACAGCAAGGCATGCTGTCACAGCTCTTGCACTGGCTGTTTTGGGGAGTGTAAGGGTGAAGGACCAGATGCCAGCCCCATGACCACTCCATGGATCCACTGACAGGAGTCATCCTCAGTACTGGCCCTTGCTCTCCAGCTCATGGATAGAGCTGGCACCAGGAGGGAAGAGAATTCTCACCAGGTTCTGCCATGAGAATCACCCCCAGAATGGCCAAGGATGCTGAGGACTGCATCCCTGAGCCACAGCTTTGCAGCAGCCCAGCTCTCCCCATCCTATCATCTTTGTGCATCAGTCCTGACTGGAAGCCCTCCAGAGAGCCAAAATATAGGGAAGCAACATCCTCATCATCTTTTCTCCGCTTCTAGCCCCAGACACATTGAAGCACCATGTGCTTTTCCCCCTCTCTGAGAGGCTCATTTCAGTGCCCTCCGTGTAAAATGGCACAGATCTGAAATGTGACCAAAACATGTCAGTTTAAATATGAAGTATCTACCTCTGCCCTCCTGTGTTGCAGTCTGGGTTTCTCTACAGCAACTGCTTCCCCCAGTGAGTACAGGCTTTGGGTTTTATTCCCATTAAAGGTGGTAATCAAGGGGTCAAAAAGAGATCTTTCTGAGAGCTCTTGATTTGTTCTGGATTGCTGAGAGCAAGCCTGTGCTCCTTTTCTTCTGATATTCAAACTCCACTGCTTCTTGCTTTCCCAGCACAAGCATCTGCAAGAAGCATTTACAATATTTGGGAGGGAGCAGTTTAAAGGTGGCATCGAGCAAAAAAAGCTTCTTCCCAATTCTCCAAACTGAGATCCCAGCCCCAGCTTTGTTCAAAAGCCTCTGAACAAGCCAGCAGGGCAAAATGCAGGTCAGAGCAGCAGAAACATCACATTTTGTTATCCTCAACATTTCACAGAAGAAATCATTTCCATTGAGCCACCCGAGGTGTGCAGGAGACAGACAGCGTCAGATTAAATAGGAAAAGCATTTCCAACTATGTTATCTGGCTAACACAGAAAGCAGTGGAAAGACCCACTATTCAGGGAGGAAAAATAGACAACAGAACATCTGCAGTCATCTTAACCAGCCCCATGAGTTTTAGCAAGGGAAGGTCAGTGTAATTAACCAACCTGCCAAGCCATGCTCAGAGGTCCAAACCTAATTTCGTTTTATCAGCTACTGCTCTTCCTAAGAGGAGCCTGCTCCTGAAGAGCTCCCACACATCCCTTCTTGGACCAGCCCTGTGACCAAGTGCCTCTGCACAACTGGAGCTTGGTACATGCAGCTTCATCCAAACAAGCTGCAACATGGTATGTGAAGGACATCCTTCCAAACGGCTCTGGTGCCCCCCTCTCCTCCAGAGTAGATGGACTCAGAACTAGCATGGCCGCATTCATAAACCCAGCCAAATTTTTATCCAGTCTCAGTTAACACAGGGCATGACAGAACATTGGAACCAATTTATCTCTGGGTGATATTTGCCAAAATGGGTAGGGCTACTTCAAAACACAGAAAAACAAAGACACAGGAAATGGACTATTAGAACTCTGCAAAACAAGAAGCATCCCCTAATGGTACCTCAAGCACCTGAAATAATCACAGCCTCTGTAAAGCTTTGCCTTACCTGCCCAAGATCAGGAGCTCCACACTGGTTTCAAAAGCTGAGTGTTTCTCCAGTGAAAACAGCTAAGAACTTCCTACTCTAAAACCAAAGGCCAGGTTTCGGGAACAAAGAGCAATGGTTTACCTCCCTTGTGTCTAGGACCCCACATTCCTTCACACCCCGTTCTTTGGGCATTATAGACTGGATCACAAATAAAAGCAAACCCTCCCTCCCACCCAGCAAAAGCTCAAACAAAACCACACATCACAGCAATTATGAATTATTTTTTTTATGTTTACAGTAGTCACTCTAACAGGGGTACCAAGGGGCTTTTTTTATCAGAATTCTGATGTTGGAGTTACTTCATTAAGAAAGCTGGATAAAGACCAAAACCGCTGCTCTAAAATGTAATTACAAAGAGTTGAGATCATACTGTGCTTTAAAAGAAAGTTACCTAGTTTAACTTGCATAGCACAAGCATACGTAAGTAGCTGTGTTAACAGGCATTGATAAAGCCCATCTCAATTTGTGTTATTGCCTTTATTTTGTTTAAGTCTGAGCAACTGGCTGCTGGTCTCTGCTGGAACAAGACAGGTTTATTGGCAGTTGCTCTCCAATAGTTTAATTTGGTTTAGCCAAGGAACAGTGTACACTACGAAGTTGCAAGTGGTGCGCTAAGGAAAGAAAGAAAAAAAAAAGCAGTTAAAAGATTACAGCAATGGTTGGTAACACTGTTTATGCTGTTACAGCAATTTTCCACCCCACATGATCCAGAATGTATGCCACTTCCATGGCTCTCTAGATTTGCATTCTCCTGACCAGTATTCTGGAATACCACTCCTGTTAGAACCTACTCAGGATTAAGCATTTCTATCAAATAAACACTAACAAAGAAGCTGAAAAGTCAGCACTTCTGAAGCTCAGGCCGCCTCCTTTACCCATTCACCCAGCTTTCAGCACAGCTAATACTCCACCATAAACTCTCAGGCACAGGTAATCACAACCTGCACACCTAATCTGTATGTGCAAATGTCAAATCATTCCAGCTGACAGCTAGAAGCTTGTGTATACCAAGTGCTTAATGGATCACTTGTGTGCAGTTACACTTCCGTATGCAGGCAGAAAGGGCATGTACGCAAAGAAGCTAAGCCTGTTGCTGTGATTAACGGAAGTAATGACGTGTCATGGAGGAACCAGACTCGGCTCAGATCAAGGCAGCACATACTTGGTGCTCTCACCTGAAAAGCTAAAGTGCTTCTTAAGGAGCATTGCTATAAGAAAAGCCCCATGTAACAGCCTGCTGGGCACAGAGAAGAGGGGTAATCTGCCTCTTGTGATCAGTACTTGGCCAAAAGCACTACCCACAATAGTGTCAGCCCCACCTCCCCCCCCCAGAAGGAGTGCCAAGTCATGCATGTTGACATTACCACGGGGTAAGAGGAGCTAAGAATAGCATGGGGACTCAAGACACCAGCCAGAGGGGCAGGAGATCTGTAAGTTTGGCAGAGCTTCTTCCACACATCCTTATGACCTGGACTATGAGCACTTTTTGAGAGTACTGAGGCACACACATGCAGCACAGCCCTAGATCCCCACTTACAAAACAGGCTAAAAGGCCCTGCCTTCTCTGTCATCTGGCAAGACAAGTTCTGCAAGGGCAGAATCTTGTTCAGCATAAAGGTATGAAGGTGTCTGATCTTGGCTGGGGCAGACAAGGGACACTGCCCATACCCCTCTGTACTAAGCCAGCTGGAGGGAAGGGGCTGGAAACCCAGGGGCCAGCTCTGGAGCTTACCTTAGCCATGTGTGGTGCATCATGGAGAGCACAGCTCTGGAGATCAGTGGCTGGCTTCGGGCAAGTTGTCCGGCCAATCTCCACCTCCATTATGTACTTGATCCCAGACACAATCTGCAACAAGACAAGCAGACAGAAGCAGCTTTATTTGCAGCACAGGCAGAAGGGCTCTCTGAGGAGAGGAGCTTAGCAGAAAGGCAGACAGTTTTCTGGTTACATGATGGAAACCAGACCCCAAAAAGCATAGAGGGGAATTGTGCATGGCAACTTCCACAGAGGAGGCATTTGGCACCCTTGCAAAAACAGGAACAAAATCCAAGTAAACAAGCCTCACGGTGCAGCTTCCTTAGCCGGTCAACAAAGTCATGTGTTAACCCATCCACAGCACAAGTTACACACAGCGCCCAACAGCATTCAAGAGCAGATCAACAAGACACAAGCTATAAAAAAAAAAAGGTTTTTACTCACCTTCTACAGAAGAAAAACCCCATATAGAACAATCCCTCAAGTTTGAGGCCTGCTCACTGCTCCAGTGAGGCCTCAAACAGGCCTCATTCCCAGTAGCTCCACAGAGGTTGATATGGCCGTTCCCTCCGCGCCCTCCCGGCCCAGTGCCCACCTTGCCGCAGCTCACAAGCCCGCCCGGCACCCACCTGCCTCTTGGCGCTGATGACCCGCACCACCCGGCTGGAGTACATGTCGTTGCTGGCCCTGTTGTACTCCATCATGGCGAACTGCAGGGCCCGCTGCAGGCCCTCATCGTTGTCGGCGTTGGCGATGTCCATCGGGGCCCCCAGCAGGCGCGGCCGGTCCTCGCCGCCCCGCACGGAGCCGACAAACACCAATGCCACCGCCAAGAGGGAAACACACACCCAACTTCTAGCCATGGCTGCGCAAGTCACAGGCCCGCTGCGCCCGACGCTGTTTTAAAGCCGCCGGGGCGGGGCGAGCCGCGGCCTAGGCCCAAAACACCGCCCCGGCCCGCCCGCCCTGATGCCCCGCCCGCCAGCAGTACAGGGGCGGGCAAAGCCGGCCCCAGGCCCGTGAGTTTGCGGCCGGGATGGGAGTGCCCGGGACAGGCTCTGCAGCCAGGCAAGGTGCCTGGCCAGGGGCTCCCCTCCGAAACCCCTCTCCTTTATCTGTTCTCTCTTATCACAGAACCCCAGACTGGTTTGGGTTGGAAGGGACCTTAAAGCTCCTCCAGCTCCAACCCCTGCCATGGGCAGGGACACCTTCCACTGGACCAGGTTGCTCCAAGCCCCTGTGTCCAACCTGGCCTTGAACACTGCCAGGGATGGGGCTGCCACAGCTTCTCTGGGCACCCTGTGCCAGGGCCTCAGCACCCTCACAGGGAAGAATTTCTCCCTAATGTCTCATCTCAATCTCCCCTCTGTCAGGTTAAAGCCATTCCCCCTTGTCCTGTCCCTACAGGCCTGTGTCCAAAGTCCCTCTCCGGATTTCCTGTCACCCCTTTAGGCACTGGAGCTGCTCTAAGGTCTCCCCTTAAGGAGCCTTCTCTTCTCCAGGCTGACCCAGCCCAGCTCTCTCCGCCTGCCTCCATAGCAGAGCTGCTCCAGCCCTCAGAGCATCCCCTTGGCCTCCTCTGGACTCACTCCAAGGGCTCCATGTCCCCCTTGCTGGGTGTTGGGCTGGGCTTTCTCTTTGGAAAGGAAAGCAGTGAGGAGGAGGAAGGGTTTCAGCAACCCCAGAAATCTCTGCTGGGGCAAGGCCCGTGCCCTAAAGCCATCTTGCTTGTGGAAAAACACCCATGTACCCTGTCCACTGGGGAGGGGACAGGAGGACATTGCACTGGCACTATGCTGCCCACAGCCCTCCACAGGCGTTCAGGAGGAGGAGGATGTTTTCCACACAGATCCAGGAAGTTGGAGACATTTTCCAGGCTCTGCCTCCTCATGGGTTATTCCAGCACTTATTTCCCTCTACAGCGGAGGGAAAACAAAAACCACAGAGCATTTTAAGCTACAAATGTGGCTCCCAGCACAAAACACCATGTGTCATTTCCCATCTCTGCCTCCACAGCATCCTCGTTACCTCATCTACGCTAATGGCTCCACTGAATGACAGAGGGGCATCTGCAGCAGGGGTGGCTGCCCGGACAGATTGCTTAACTTCCAGTCTCCTCTCGCAACCACAAGCCCATCTCCCCCATCCTGTCAAGGAATGCTAAGTTTGGAAAGACAGGACCTAATATAGCACGAGGGAGATAGCTCCAGGAAGATCTAAGTCCTTGTGGAGTTGCCAGCATAAGAAAGGGAGACATTTTGTGCCTGAGTATCAGCAGCATGCCTTATGATGAAAAGGCAAGGGCTTGTGTGGCGGCTGGAAAGGATGCCTGCATGCTAGAATATCCAGCATCAGACTTATCACTGGAAAAATCCCTGCAGGATTGGCAACAAGCTGTCTGACTTCATTCAGCAGCGACACGGTGTTGGGGTAGTTTTTACAGCTAGAGGAAATAAGTACCACCAAAAGTACCAGAGAGGGGACTGAGACATGAGCCAGAGTTGCTGGTGGCTGTAGGAGCCTGTCTCCATTTATCTTTTCCCTATGTGGCTTTGGATCCAAATGGGATCAGTTTAAAACTCAAGGTTAGAGTTCCGCCTAGTGCCTTTAGAGGCAAAGGTTGTCTTTGACACTCTCAGTGCCAACACAAACAGCTGGCTCTGGCCTAAATCAGCCACTGCACCTCTAAAGCATCTACCCTGTGCTGTCCCTGCCAGCTCAGGCCTCCATCGAGCAGTGCCCAGCTCCCAGCTGCTGGGGATGCTCCCTAGCCCCACACAGCACTGGCAGGGACCTGTGCCTCCCATGAGGACACAAGGGAAGCACCATGAGAGGGAAAACCAGTGCTTTTGGGATCCAGGGAGCTTTGACCTCGCAGGCAAACAAGCAAGCAGAGTCTTAGCTCTCCTTGGGTCACTTCATTGGTGTGATAGTGTCCAGTGGAGCTTACACTCACAAGGGCAGGCAGGAAGTCAGCTCCTGGTAGTCCTGGTGATCTCACAGTTATCCCTACAAGTGGTCACCAATGATCCCACTTAGAGTTTCCTCCCCAGGTACCAGTCAACCCAAGCAAAGAAATGTGCTGGATCTGCAGCTCAGGGGTCAGTTTGCCCCTTTCTGCCCAATGACTGCGCCAGGCACCAGAGGTCCTGAGCACTGATGATGCTCAAGCATCAATATACAAATTTCCTGTTCTTTCCCTTGGTCCTTCTGCATTCCTGCTCCCTCTCACAGAACACAAGAGACATACCTGGAGACCTGGCTCAAAGCTTTTCTAAATGTCTGAAAGGAGCTGCAGAGTCATGTTGTCCTCTTCCTTGGTCAGCATCACCTGCCTCAGCTGAACACATACAACAGCAAAAAGCAGAGCTGGCTGAGGCCTCAGACCCTCACTTCCCTTGGTGCCAGGATTTCATTTCTGCCAGGATTCATGAAATAAAACTAAATTCTACCTTTTGCTTCTGAAGGGTGAAGCCATTTGACTCTATCAGAGGGGCATTTTCAAACAGTCAAATGACCCAGGGAAATTTGAGGTAATTACCAAGCAGCAGGAGACTCATAATAACACCCCAGAAGTTCGTAACACTATGTGCTATCACAGTAACAGGAAAAATACAGTTTTAGTGTCTTACAACAGCATTTGTGCAAAATCCAACATTTTCATCTTCCTTTTTGTCTATGTTCCAGTTTCACTCAGGACCGGTGAGCTTTTCATGTTACCAGGCATACTTCTTTCTTCAGGTAACTGCTATGTTCCTTGCCCTTATCTCTCTTTTAACATCCAAAGGAACAATTACAGATGTTTCTACTTGGTAGCTAACGGAGCAGCTCTGGAATACTGTGACATGTCATTCAAAGTACGGTTAGACAAGGATGTTTGGAAAAGCAGATAGTCCTTTAATCAAGAACACCAGTATCTCCACAGAGCTGAACTCTAAATGACCCTCAAGAGACAGTAATTACTGGGATGGAGGCAGGGACAATGGGAAAAGCATGACTGAACACTAAACATCTGGTTTCAATTTCTCTGCAGGCCAAATCCATGCTGGGGTCAGTGCTTTGCATCCCCCTAAGTGAATCTATAGCAGTGAAGGGTGGGGTGCTGGCATGGTTCCCCCTTCTCCTCCCACTGCGCTGTGTAACTAACACAAGGTGATAGAAGGGAGGTGTTGCGTAAAAGGAGCTTTCAAAAGCTGAAAGCCTCTTGAGCAAGAGAGTCAGCAGTTTATGAGGCAGGGCTCAGAGTGATTCAATACCAAAGGCAAAGCCATCTCAGTGCTGTTGAAGAGTGCCCCCCTGCTTATGGAAACAAACTCACCCCATGCAAGCTTATTTTCAGTAACAGTGGGAGAAGTAGGGACCCTCAAATTCTCATGGCCCCCTCTGTCCACTCCTGGCATGCAGAAGCATTTCATTTCAGGAGAGGAAATGCCATGACTTGTCTGCATAAGGAAAATCAGGGCTCTATATTACTCTCAGCTTCCAAAGTGGAGGGACACCTGAAATCTAAGCAGCTGATTTGAAAGTCCCCAGGCAACCAGGACCACTGTTCTGCATGTTCACACACTTTCACATGCTGGCAAGCTCTTGCCACAAGCAGACAGCAGTGGCTTTTCTTGATAGACTGAAAGGCAATAGGGTAGGGACAGGACAAGGGGGAATGGCTTTAACCTGACAGAAGGGAGATTGAGATGAGACATTAGGAAGAAATTCTTCCCTGTGAGGATGCTGAGGCCCTGGCACAGGGTGCCCAGAGAAGCTGTGGCTGCCCCATCCCTGGCAGTGTTCAAGGCCAGGTTGAACACAGGGGCTTGCAGCAACCTGGTCTAGTGGAAGGTGTCCCTGCCCATGGCAGTGGGGTTGGAACTGGATGAGCTTTAAGGTCCCTTCCAACCCAAACCAGTCTGGGATTCCATGACTCTTCAGCTGGGAAACATGATGTGCCAACACAGACTTCAAAAGCACTAAAGGGCTCCTCTGAACATATTTCAGTCCTGGCAGCACAACTGGATTAATAAAGACCCTGCCTCCAGTTCCTCTGAGACACAACCATGCTTCCTTTGCTCTTCACAGTAGCCTGGAAGGAGTTAATGACTGTCTACTTTAAATAAGCTTAGCACTTAGTGCTGAGTGTCCCTTTCAGGCAATTCAGTGGGAGCAGAGCTATTAGGAAACACAGGCCCTCAGTCTAGGTGTTGAGCTCTCTTGAAAGCACAGCCCTAGATTTCCTGGGAACAGAAAGCAAAAAACAAAACCCAACAGGAAGCAAGTGCAAGTGGCACTGAGCCCTGTTCAGTCATTGGCAGTCACTTCTAGGAATTAAATGCCAAGCAACCCTTAGGACTGATCTCAATAAGGTCAACGATTATCACCCTGCAGAGAGCAATTCTTGTGAGAGGAGGTGGGGGGAGCTACCCGGGTCTCTGCTGAGTCCCATGCTGCTCACATCGCTGTGGGATGACAGCATTGAGTCCTTTTCCCTTACACCAATGCAGAAGATAATTTGCCTCTAAGAATGGGTATTCACATACAAACATCTGCTCTCGTAATTACTGATGTTAATCTGCCTTTGTGCCCACAAGGGAAGGCATTATTGGTTTACCAAGCAGTAAATAAAGTAATTGCTAGCAGGAAAGCTGCATTTCAGATAACTGCAAGCAATCAGTTATGGTCAGATTGCACATTCGAAGCAGTGAAGCTACAGTATTGATAGTGAATGCTGATTTAAGTGAAGTACTGGTGCACTTGGGGTGTTAGCAAAATAAAACCAGGCAGCCTTTTTCACTCTGAGAAATAGAAATGCTGTCACAGCAATAGCATGTGTTCAAAATTATCACCAGAGATTATATGCAATCTGTTGCCTTTGACTGCTGCATTA